TCCTCCCTTCTCCCCCTCCCCCTCTCACTCCTCCTCCTCCTCATCCTCTTCCTCCTGCTCCTCCTGCTCCTTCTAAAGTTCCTCCTCCATTCTCTCCCTCTTGGGGTTGAATCCTCACCCAGCCCTCCCTCTTGGGGTTGAAGCCTCACCCAGCCATTTATTCCACTGCATGATTCTCCACATCCCTGATCAGGGCAACTCGTCTGGGCATCGTTTCTGGATGAGCTGGAAGGGTACGCGAAGCGTATAGAATAAGAGAGAACGGCATAAACAAACACTTTAGAAGGCCCGCGAGGATTTCTTTCGTCGGCGGTGACCTCCGTTGCGCAATGCTCTCTTCTTCGAGTGAAAGGCAGCTGGGTGCGGTCCCAGGCGAGGGCAGCAGCGGCGGCGGCAGCAATAAGCCAGAGGACCCTCCCTGTGACGAGCTTCCCCGGGATCGGCGGCGCGCTCCGGGGGGCAGAGCAGCGGAGGCGGGCCCTTGTCAGAAGGCTCAGCAGGCCTCCTGCCTTCTCAGAAATTAGGGGGCCACATGCGAACCCTACCCCTACCCCCCACGAGTTCTGAGGGGGAGGGTGGGGTTCACTCCGCTCGGGACCTCCCGAGCGAAGTGAGCCCCACCCTCCCCCTCAGACATCGTGGGGGGTGGGGGTAGGGTTCGCACGTGGCCTTCTCAGAGACTTCCCAGACTTTCTCGAAGGATTGCAAAAAACACAGGATTGCAAAAAAAAACGAAGGATTGCAAGAAAGATTGCAAAACGGATTGCAAAACAAAAAACCTAGGATTGCAAACAAAAAAACAAGGATTGCAAAACAAAGCCCTTAGAGCCACGCGGGGGCTTCTCAGACGGCCGGAGGGCCTCTGCGAAGCCCCGCCACCTTCTGGGAAGGCCTGCCCTCTCTCACCTCTTCCCCCCTCGGCGCGCCGCCGACGGCAGAGGCGGAGGACGGAGCGGGCAGGAGGCGGCGTCGAGGCCGAAGTCTACCGGGAGGTCTTGGCATCGCTCGGACGTGTGCATTTTTCCTTCGGCGAGGACCATCGAGGAGGATCCTTGATCATTTGGCGAGAAAACCACGCACGAAACCGAAAAAAAACACAGGGAATGGACGTCCGAGCGATGGCCGGGAGGAGGAGGCCTCCCACGCCTTGGCCTGGGGCCGCGGCCTGAACCGGAAGCGGATCAGGCCAGCCAACCCCTCGGCGCCCCGACTGCGTGCTTCGGCGTCTCTCCGCGCGGCTTCCACGCCGGTGCCTAGCACAGCAGGGCACGAGCGAGAGGGGCAGGAACGGGGGAGTAGACACTCACGCTGGCAGCAAGACCGAAGACAGGCCAAACTGGCAGCGAAACCGAAGCTGGGCGAAACCGACAGACCGAAGACTGCCGAGTAGGGCGCAGCGACGCAACAACCGACCAAAGCAAACCGACCGAATGCAGCCGACTGCGACGCAGCTGACCGAATCGAGTCATGCACACCCATGGGCGAGGGGGGTGAAGTGCAAAAGTGGGCCGTCTGATCAAATGTTCGGAAGCCATTGCGATGGGCTCGTGTCGACTGGTCATGTGGCGTCCCTCGTTCAGTTTTCCACTTCGCGGCATCAGCACTACCGCCCCGCCTGTGGGCCTGTGGGTGGAAAATTCTGCTGTGGACTATGGACGGGTGCGCGCAGAGCGCGTGTATGCTTGTCTGTACGTACTTCTACGTAGCACCCCGCAGTTGCGGATAAGAGTGGGGGGTCGGAGGGACGTCTGCAGTCTGCGAGGCTCTGAAGAAGCCCGCCGCAGGCGCAACATTTTCAAACTATACAGCGAGCCCGCCGCAGGCGCCGATTTTTTGTTAAAACAATGTCGGTGGTGGGTCGCGGGTTGGGTCGCAGGTGGGTCGCGGGTGGGTCGACGGTGGGTCGTGGGTTGGTCGCGGGGCTCTCCACCTCCACCTGGAGGGAATTCAAAAACAGCCCGCCGCAGGCACCGAAAATTTTGATTTGTACACTGAACGCGGTTTGGGTCGCGGGTGGGTCGCGGGTTCTCCACCTGGAACGAATGCAAAAGAAGCCCGCCGCAAGCGCCGAAAATTTTGGGTGGGTCGCGGGGTGGGTCGCGGGTGGGTCGCGGGTGGGTCGCGGTGGGTCGCGGGTGGGTCGCGGTGGGTCGCGGTCGCGGGTGGGTCGCGGGGTGGGTCGCGGGTGGGTCGCGGGTGGGTCGCGGGTGGGTCGCGGGTGGGTCGCGGGTGGGTCGCGGGGTGGGTCGCGGGTGGGTCGGGTGGGTCGCGGGGTGGGTCGCGGGTGGGTCGCGGGGGTCGGGTGGGTGCGGGGTGGGTCGCGGGTGAGTCGCGGGGCGGGTCGTGGGTGGGACGACGACAACAACACAACAAGCAACAAGCAACAAGCAACAAGCAACAAGCAACAAGCAACAAACAACAAACCAAAACAAACTGAAAACAACAACAACAACAACAACCACAACAACAACAACAACAACAACGAGAATCCGCATCGCGGAATTCCACTGCAGCCACGCACCCAGGTGGAACGAATGCAAAAGAAGCCCGCTGCAGGCGCCGAAAATTTTAGGTGGGTCGCGGGGTGGGTCGCGGGTGGGTCGCGGGGTGGGTCGCGGTAGGTCGCGGGTGGGTCGCGGGTGGGTCGCGGGGTGGGTCGCAGGTGGGTCGCGGGTGGGTCTCGCGGATGGGTCGCGGGGTGGGTCGCGGGTGGGTCGCGGGTGGGTCGCAGGTGGGTCGCGGGTGGGTCGCGGGGTGGGTCGCGTGTGGGTCGCGGGGTGGGTCGCGTGTGGGTCGCGGGGTGGGTCGCGGGGTGGGTCGCGGGTGAGTCGCGGGGCGGGTCGCGGGTGGGACGACGACAACAACAAACAACAAACAACACACAACAAACAACAAACAACAAACAACAAGCAACAAGCAACAAGCAACAACCAACAAATCACAACCAACACACAACAAACAACACACAACAAACAACAAACACAACAACAACAACAACAACAACAAAAACAACAACTGCAACGAGAATCCGCATCCCGGAATTCCACTTCAGCCCCGCACCCAGGGACAGTGAATGACCGTTAGCCCCCTCACTCTGATGTGCTTGTATGCATGTATGTATGTGTGCATGCATGCTTGCCTGCCTGTCTGTGTGTCTGTCTGTCTGTCTGTCTCTGTCTATCTGTCTGTCTGTCTGTCTGTGAATCTGTCTGTCTGTCAGTGTCTGTCTGTCTGTCTGTCCGTCTGTCTGTCTGCCTGTCTGTCTGTGTGTCTGTCTGTCTCTGTCTGTCTGTTTGTCTGTCTGTCTGTCTGCCTGTCTATATGTCTGTCTGTCTGTCCGTTTGTCTGTCTGCCTGCCTGCCTGTCTGTCTGTCTGTCTATGTGTATGTCTTTCTGTCTGTCTATATATATGTGTGTGTGATTCCGTCTGCCTGCCTGTCTGTATCTGTATGTGTATGTGTATGTGTATGTATAAGCGATTGTGTCCGTGTCTGTGTAGGTGTATGTGGATGAGCATGCAGCTGCCAATAGTTCTTATGGGTAGACATGTACGTGTATGTATGTATATATGGCTATGCGTGCTTATATGTATGCGTATATGTATGTGTATATGTGTGGATGTAAAAGTATATATATATATACAAATGTATATGTGTGTATATATATATAGAGATACATATGCACAAATATACGTGTGTGTGCGTATGGGTCGAGCCCGTCTAATACCAGAACTGGATCGCTGCTCCGACCGAGCACTTGATGCTCACTTGTAAGCAACTTGTAGAATTGGCTGCGTGCACGATAGCCACTCGTAGCTCCTGAGGAGGCCACGCTGGGAAGCCACGCCACTGCCGAACCACGCGCGGGCTGCCGAACACTGTTGCATCCTATACCTTGTCGCATGACTATCCGTAAGGTAGCTCCTCCTCAGGGGAAACGCTTGGAGGACCGGCTCAGTGTTGAAAACATCGACAGCGCGACCTCGGCCGCACTAGCTCCCTGGCCCTGACGCCCCCCTCGCCGTGGTGCGTGCCTTTGGGCCCCTCTGGCCGTGATGCGTGCCTTCGGGGCGATCAATAAAAAGATGCGGCCAGCGAGGACGCCAGAATTGAGGCAGACGGGCTGGCTGTACCGACGCAGGCGCTGGCCATCCAGAACTTCGATCATCCTCAGGCCCTCTCAGACCACTGTCGCGGCTATGCACGTCGAAGAAAACTGGTATGGCCGCATCACGGCCATTTGATAACATGGCACCGTTGCGGCGGATGGGGGCCAAAATGGGCAAGATGGGGGGCCATGATGGGCCACCGTTTTTGGGGGCCCGGCATCTCTCAACAAATTTGCACAGTGCATGATGGGGGGCCACGACGGGGGCCCACGACGGGGGGTCACGATTTGGGATCGCGATGGAGGGCCACGATGGGGGGCCCACGATGGGGAGCCAAAGAGGGGGGGCCCCACCATGGGCCACCGGTTTCGGGGGCCAGGAGCCCAGACGTCCCTTACCAAGCGTCAGGTGAAAATCTGACGGGACCCTGACAAACACGCTGTTTAGGGAACAGGTTAGCGTGTGGAAAGCCATCCAGTGCGCAAAGCATAACAAATCGCGAACTAGCCCTGCGCACCGAGACACATGGATTGCGCCTCGCGGTCGGGAAAAATGACGGGGACGGCAGTGGATCCTGCGAGCGTTGCGCCCAGCTCTGTGCACCTGAAGCCTGCAGCATGACAAAAGCTCAGCGAGCCTTCCTCACATCCCACGGCTTCGCCACTTCGCCAGCATCGGACGAGCTGGCGCCTTAGCCCTGGGAGGTCGGAGGACTGAATCCATTACAACAGTCCCTTGCCCCTCCCCCAACCATCACACCCATTCGCTTTATCCCGCTTGCTCCACCGAGCTAGAAAGTCCATGACGCAAAGCTCCCAGGGAAGAAAGGCACGCGTAATCTGTCTCGACATGTAAGCCAATGAACCAGATTGAAGCCAGAGATGTATCCCGCCTGCGGGAAATACTTCTTCACCACCATGCCGATGGACGAATCGTTCACCTGTCATCGTGTCTCTGGGACAAACCTTCCAACTTCCACACTCTCCTCCGCCACTTCCTCCTTCACAAACTCCTCCTCCTCCTCCACCTCCGCGACCCCCGCCTCCCGCAGATCCACCTCCTGCGATCCGCTGTCTGTGTGCACATGCGTTCGTGGGACTCGAAGCTGTGAACGAATTGGCGGTATCGCTGGCAATGGAACTGCGCAGCTTGAGTTCGGAAGCTGACCATGCAATGCCAGAGATGGGCTTGAAGTGAGCCGCAGAAAAATACGGTTGGAAGACAGTCAGCACAATGTGTCTGTCATCCGCGCTGACACAATAATGCTCTCCGACAACATATCGTGACTGATTCGAACATGCGAAATAATCAACAACGTTGGCGCTGACAACTGGTGTTGGTCGCACCAGCCAATGAAAACACACAACACATGACTGGACAAGAACGGAAAGCGTCGCTTTTGTCCACTAGGTATGCGAAGTATGTTCTTTTGTTGGTCTGCCGCGCAGATTTGTCGTGGCGTGCGTGCGGTTGCGCGTGCGCGTGCGCGCGTGGAATATGTGCATGTGTGTCCGTGCGTGGTCTGCGGCGCTGCTGTGTTATGCCGTGCTGCTCTGCGGTGCTCCTGCGGTCTGCGTGAGCGTATGTTGCCTCTCTGTGTGTGCGTGTGTGTATGTGTCTGCGTGTGCGTGTGCGTGTGTCTGTGTGCGTGTGTCTATGTGGGTGTGCCTGTGGGTGCGGCTGTGTAAATAAATGTTATATGTGTTCTGCGGTGCTCCTGCGTGTGTTGCCGTGCTCCTGTGTGTTCTGCCATGCGAATGTGGATTCTGCCGTGCTCCTGCTCTGCCGTGCTCCTGTGTTCTGCCGTGCTCCTGTGTGTTCTGCCGTGCTCCTGTGTCTTCTGCCGTTCCCGAGAGAAGCCGAGTCCCAAGCGAGCACCGAGGGCGACGGAAGCCTACCCACCAAGGGGAGCAGCTGGGGCGAGCCTCACCGATGCACCCCTTTCACCCACTCACGGTCGGACCGCCACGGCGCGCCAGACGGCGGCGCACCCTGCGGTCCTCCAGGGCGTCGGATGTTGCATTGGCCGCGGCGGCGAGCTCCTCCTCGGTGACCCCGAAGGCTCCGAGGAGCCCAGCTCTCGCCGCGGCTGGGCGCCGCAGAGGCTGGCTGGCGACGGCCGCTGCGACGGGCGCAGCTGCGGGGGCCTCGCCAAGGCCCTCCGCCACCTCAGGCTCCGCGGCCGCCGCTGGGGCGCTGCCCGCACTGCTCGCCGCGGCCGAGGAGTCGACATCTGGCTCCGCTGCGATGCCAAGCCGCTCCAGGTACCGCCCTGCGCATGCTCAGGCACTGGCCCCTGCGAACGCAGAGCAGGGATGTCCTCTCCTTTCACTCTGTGCCTGGCAGCTCGTGACCCCTCCTGCCTCCTGCCTCCTGGATGGAGCCCCCCGTAGCCACTGGCTGCGCTGGTTCCTGCCCGCCTTGTCGGCTTTGTCACCGGGGCACCGCTCCTTGAGGCGAGGCCTTACCCCTGAGCGGCCGCCCAGCGTCATGTAGGCGCCGCACTTGGAGCACGCCACGGGCTCTTGGGTGTCCTCACCTTCTCCAGCGCAGGCGTAGGACAGGGCGTGTCCCAGGATGCTGAAGGCTACGGCGCTGGCCGAGAGGGCGGCCGAGCTGCTGCCAGTCGAGCGAGCGCTCTCCAGGCGTGGCCGCTTGGCCATCGGCCCAACGCCAGCGGCATCCTCTGCCGCCTGAGACGCCTCGGCGGCGGCAAACCGCACCTGGCGCCGCTCAGCAGCAGGAGGGAGCCCTTCGCAATCCTTGGCCGCGATGCCTTGCCAGATGATGGCGGCCCGACAGATCCAGCGCCCGAGCTCCTGCACGATCTCCGCCAACGCGTGGTGCTCGCCAACTGTCTGCCTGTCCACTGCATGCATCTGGGCACCCATCTTGGCGAGGCGGTCTGCATGCTCGTTGCCGCGCCTCTGGGCCTCCGTCAGGAGCCCGTCGAGCACCGCCTGCCTCGAACAGTGGGCTGGCACCTTCTTCACCTCGAAAGTGCCTGGCTCGAAGCACGCCAGGATCCTGCCCCACAGGTGGGCGTTAGCCCTGCTGGGCGCCGTGGCGTACGCACGCCCTCTCCGCAGGCAGGTCACAGTGGAGCTGCAGTCGATGTTGACCTCCTCCACCGCTGGCCCCGCGAAGGTGGCGAGCATCCAGACAGCGAGGTCCTCGCCGTCCTTGGCCGTCTGCTGCGGGCAGAGGTCTCGCCTGACGGTGCCGCGCACCCCTGCGACAAGGTTGCCGTCGTCGTCGCACTGCGCAGTGGCCCAGCCCGCACGGCGCAAGGCGCCGAACTGCGGCTCGAGGGCCGAGCCATCGAGGTACAGCTTGCCGTTGAGCTTATCATCGGCTGGCCTACAGACCCACTGCACCTACATGGCGTCAGTGCGGCGACCCTGCGGCGGCTCTGGTGCGGGCAGCCAGCAGCGGGCGAAGTTCTCGCCTGAGCGCTCGCCAAGGGCCCGCGCTCGCTCTGCACACCGCTCCAGCCGTGCCGACACCCCGTCGCGCCGCTGGTGCTCCAGTACGGGGCATTCGAACAGGCGGTGCCACAAGTTGCGCCGCTCGGCCCCGCAGCAGCAGCAACGCGCATGCCCCCGTTCACCTGCATCAAAGAGCCTGGCCTGCGTCCAGTGCGTGTTGGAGATGTAGGCCCCGAGCGCGTTCTGCTCCCTCACGCTCAGCTCGCTGTCTGGCCCGAGCAGACGCCCGATGGCGTCCCAGTACAGCGGCCGCTGCAAGAGGGGGTCATGGCTGAGCTTCCGCATCTCGTGGCGATCGGAGGCACGCCTATCGCCGAGGCCAGCCTCCAAGCCCAGCTCCCGAGGCCCGAGGAGCATGAGGTCGAGCTCGTCGCCGAGATCCGTGACCAGGTACCGCTCGGACTTGAAGTGCCAGCCGATCCGCGCGAGGGTCAGCACCACCGCGTCGATGGGGGAGGCACAGTGCTTCCACGGCGTGTCGGCACTCGTGTGCCTGGTCGCCGCCGCCTCTAGCCCCCGCGCCATCATCCTGAGCGGCAGCTCGCCTGACTGCAGCAGGCCCGCCAGCATCTGGACTGCGTGGCCGGCCGTGAGGACTGCAGGATCCAGGTCGCGCCTCCTCCTGAGCTCGGCGCAGCGCATGCGAAGCCCTAGCGCAGCGCCCATGGGGAGCGCTCCTGCGCTGCGGCACGCCGCAAGCCTCCAGCTGTGCAGCTCGCCGTCCGCGATGCCTGTGACCGTGCGACCCCACACCATGCTGGCCGTGGGCCCAGCCTTCTGGATCAGGTCCACCTCTACGCCAGCGGCACGAAGGCAGCCCAGCCTGCGTGCTCGGCGAAGCGCTCCAGCAGCTCGTACTCGGCCCTCATGCACTCCTCGCCACGTGATGGTGGCGTCCGTGCCGAGGTTCCTGGTCTGCAAGGTCTTACGGAAGGTCCAGCCCTGCGACTTCCAGTACTCGCCGAGCTGGCGTCCAAGGCTGGGGCTCGAGGCGAGGAAGGTCGTCTTGGCGGCGCTGAGGGGCAGGTGCTGACCACGGAGGAGGCGAGCCACTTGCAGCCCAGCGCTGCCAAGCTGTGCGGCGACCAGCCGCTCAGTGCCCACGGCCTGCAGCGCGATGTCGCCGACGACGTTGCGAGCGACCACCAGAGGCCTGCCACCCGCTGAGGCCGCACGGAGGGCTGCAAGCACAGGCAGCTTGGCCACAGTGGTGGCACACGCACACCCCGCCAACACTGCCCCGTTGGTGCTGAACGACTCGGTGGCCAGGCCCACGAAGCAAACTAACTGCGGGCTCTAGTAGAGCACGAGCAGGCCTCGCAGCAGCTTCAGGTTGAAGCCATGCTCGATCCCGCGCTGCCACAGGACGTCGCGCCGCAGGTTCTCGTAGAACTTGGTGATGTCCAAAAAGAGGCTGGCGGCAGCAAACCCATTCTCCCGCGCAAAGGCGGCATATGCGTTGTGCAGCCACCCAGCCTTCTCGCACCCGCGGTCGGCCTTGCCCCAGAAGAAACAGTAGTCGGGCTCCGCCTCCCGCAGAGCACAGATCGGCTGCCTCAGGCGGCTCCAGATGCGCATGAGCAGCGGGATCAGTGCGATCGGTCGAACCCCACCGTCCGACTTGGGAATGAAGACCATCATGGTGGCCTGGGCGCCCAGGGCTTGGGGCTGCTCCTCGTAAGCCGCCAGGAGGTCAAGGCAGCGCAACTGCAGGGCCACAGGGAGCAGCAGCAGCTGCCGCGGGTGGAGCTGGTCAGCGCCTAGGCCCGCCGTCGGCGAGTAGCGCCTGCACACTGCCTGCAACATCCCCAGGCTGAGGGGCGGCAGCGTCCAGCCTCGGACGTCCCAGCTCCCGACTCCAGCTCCTGCCCTGAAGCCCTCCTGCTGCCACAAGGCCTGCCAGTTGGCCTCCAGCTGCCCGACTGCCAGCATGCCTGCCGAAGGCCTGCCAGTGTCAGGGTCCACCACCTGCGGGGGCGGCACAGCCTTGGCAAACTTGTGGGCGAGCCTGCCGCCCTTCTGCACGGCCTCCTTGGCCCATGCTCTCCAGGAGGCCGAGCTCTTGCAGCCATCTCGCCTTTGGGAGCTAGCGAGGCGCGGCTGCAGCACTGCAATTGCCTCAGGGTCCCCATGAACACCAGCTTGGCCAATGAGGACGCCCCACTCGCTAGTGTCGAACTCGAGGGCCTCAGCTTCGTCTTCCTCACAGGCCGCTACAGTGGCCGCCTCCACATCGGCGAGGACACGCTCCACCTGCCGAGCGTACCAGGCCTCGTGCGCAGGCTGCCAACGCTGCGTCCTGTCAGCAGTGAGCCTCTGGAGCGCGACGTCGAGGGCCTGGCGAATGGCGTGGGTGAGGGCCGAGTGTCGGTGGCGGTGCTCGCGCTTGACCACAGCGCTAGGAGCTTGAGGACAATCTTGGGCCCCTCGGACCGTCCCAGGTACCTGTGCA